AAAACTGTTCTGTGACAACAATGTACGATTAATAATAATCCATGATATTTACTAGAAGCACACTCTAGTATTTTCAAATTTTGCAACTGTATTTGGATATGAGTATTTAATATTTTTTAATGTATTTCAATTTCTAATTTAGGCAACTGAATAATGACTGGGCCTTATCCACTGCCAAGAAAACCGTCGAAAAATATTTTCCAGTCGTCGGAATAATTGAGGATGTTTCCTCAACATTTGCCTTACTCGAACAATTTATACCATACTTTTTTGGTGGTGTAAAAGAATTATACGCCGACAAATTAATAGGTATTAAAAATATTTAAAAAATTTTAAAATTCATATGTTCTTTATCATCCTTTATTTTTTAGGCAAACCCAAGTTTATAAGACCAAAATTAAAGAAACGTTATGAAACTTATATTCGCTATTCCTTGAGGAATGAAATTGACTTCTACGAATGGCTTTTTGCAAGACTGAGAAGAGATCTATAGACCAAATATAATATAACCACTTTAAATTATATATTTTATATGAAAATACATATTTTTTTATTAAAGAACAAAAACACTTAAAAATTCATTTATTTTATACTAAATTGTGATAGTAATAGTATTATTAAATTTACCCATGCATTCAGGTAAGATAACTGCTATTCATGAGTAATTTATATTTTCTAACTTACGATTAATTTTATAATTAATTTTTCTAGATAACGGTTTTTTCGATTTTTAAATTATAATTTTTTTATAATTATAATTAAAACAGATTAGCCTATTATCATTAGAACTATCTAATCCCTTCATCAGATTTTGGAAAGAGGTCTCAAAAATTCATTCTACATCAATTTATTATATAAGTATTATATATATATATATATATATATATATATATATATAATGTTTGGACCCATTATTCATAACATTATACATATTTCGTGGGTTCAATGATTTATATGTATATATTGTGTATTACTATAAAAAAAATCAATCTTAAATAGTTGTTTTAAATATTTAATATTTTATATATTATTTTTTATTAATGATTTATTCAATTTAAGTTTTGATTTATTATTTTATATTGTTCTACATTTTTCAGTTCATTAATTTAAATTTTTGGGGATCAGCACCAAATCAAACGTGATAAAAATTCAAAGATGCCAAAATAAATTTTGAATGACCTAAAATTAACCAAATTGATTTATAGACAAGCACGTGTACAACATAATAAACGATGAATTACGAACCCATTCAGATAAATACAAAAGCCGCCTCGAGGATCATCCAAACCCACTTGTCAGAGAAATACGCCACAACACTACTAGGGCAAGATTAAAAAAGAAATTTATATTATATTAAAATATGTCAATTTTAAAAAAAAATGACGGAAGATTTTGTAATTGAAGTTTTTATTTTACAGTTTTTCTTGTTGTCCATTTTAGGACAGGTGTAAAAATTACTATATGATGAAGGAAATTAATAATAAATTTTTAATGCCAGAATCAATAAGCGCAATATTCTATTTTGCTCTTTAGATTATGCTGTCTGATTTTATATTTTCTATATTTCTATAATTTCTTCTAACTTTTGTCTCTGAGTTCAATAATTAAATTGCAAAGCATTAAGAGATTTTGTTTCCGCTGACTATGCTATCTAATTCTAATTTTATTTCAGTGCATTGAATTTTCTTTTTCATTTTATGATACAGAATTGAACGATAAAATTGCTAATGATAACCTGGAAAGAAAAAAATTGCTGACATCTGTCGATAAAATTTATTACACCTTTAATATTTTTAATCCTTGTTTATCGATGATGTCCTAGCCAGTACGTCTTGAACGTTCGTCGGTGTTAAGTGTCCGAATTTTACAAGTGCCCAAATTATACACGTGGTGTTAAAAATTGTGATAGTGTTTTGAGCCAAATTGCAAAATCAATAGTTTGGTAAGTTTCATATTTAATTAAAAATTAAAATAAAAAAAAATCATTGCTTTAAGTAAATTATCACTAATGCAAAATTGAATTACAAGTTTTGCTATAATTTTATATGCTGCTTTATCCTTTGAGGTTACTGTTTGAGAGTTTACGTTTTCGATTAAAAATAGAACTTAATTTATTATAAACATCAATTTTATTTATGTACAATGTAATAGTTTTCATAAATTATTTTACAAATATACTTTCTTCAACAAAAGCATAATACAGATAGTTGATAACTCATCTCTTACAGTTAAATCATTCTATAAATTTCATCTTGTTAACAATTTTCTACATTATTAATCTTATCCATAACATATATAAACTTGTATTAAATACCTATAATGCTTATGAAAATAACTTATAATTTATGAGTGGTAAGTACAGACAATATGATGATAATATCTTTTAGAAGAACCTAACGATTATGTAATGGTATATATGTATATACGTGCTCGGACATACATATTATATATATATATATATATATATATATATATATATATATATATAAAACATGTATATGTATATTAGGGTGGTCCTTAAAATAGTCATTTTCGAATTTCCTTGCTCCCAGGGGCTCAAATGATTCCAAATAGATAAAAAACAATTCTCTGATAGTTTTAGCTCTTAATTAATATTAACGTTTAGATAAAGCGCAATTCAAAGTTTTGTATAGAAATAGCATGGAAAAATTTTCAAGATTTTAAAAATGTTGTTTCGATATAATTTAGCGAACAAATGAATGAATAAAACTCATTCATTTGTCGCTAAGTTATACCTAAATCATTTTTTTTAATTTTCAAAATTTTCTCCATGCTCTTTCCATACAAACTTTGATTGAATTGCGCTTCATCTAATCGTTAATATTAAGAGCAAAAACTTTCAGAGAATTGTTTTTTATCAATTTGGAACCATTTGAGCCCCAGGGAGCAAGAAAATTCAAAAGTGATCATTTTAAGAACCACCCACATTGTATACACGTGTATACATATTATATATTATATAAAGTATTTACACAAATTTGATAAAAACTAACTTCAAAAAACAGAATTTAAAAAGCTTGTGTTAAATTAAATTAGTTTGATTATATTGAACTGACCGGCAATCTTCAGACAAATTCGACTTACAATTTAAGTCGTTATTAGTTATATGAACTTGCGTCCATAATTTTTTTGTTTAAACAAAAACTAGCATGACTTTTTATATTTTCTATAAATCTACTGTTCACTTTGGGTCCTTGTTATAGTCTACGTACACCCTGACCACTTCACCACTATATTTGCGTTGAGAAGGCATGAAATAGAAATCCGCAGGCATATCCCCAACGTGCTGTTGCTGGTGTCCTTGGTTCCTGTGTGCCCTCCTGTCTTGGGTATAATACCCATTATGCATTCCAGAGTTTCCTAAAGCATGTCCGTGGTTTGTCCTGGGAAGAGAATAAGTGCTTCTGTCTGGTTGCATCTGGTAACTGACTGGCGGCGAGTGTCCTTGCTGGTACCCGCCATGGCTGTAGTTATTATTTGATTTCCCGTTAGATCTTTGTAAACTTCTGCTGTGTTCGTAATAAGGTAGTGTTTGGGTCGAAGATAAAATTGCAGCTGCTGCTTGTTTACTTGGTGGTAGATTTGTGTTGTAAACTTTTGTTGGGGTTCTTGGATGAGCTCCTCCGTTGGTCGGGTGCTTCTCTTCAGTCTCGAAGGCATCAAAAGCGTAGTTGGTGTTGGCTGCACTGTAGTCCTTCCAGGCAGAGTGGGGTATTAATTGGTCCTGAACATAGAAAAATGTCAACGTGAAATAAAATATTTAGATGAATTGGTGTATTTAGTGAAGCAAATATCGACTGCATTCGCTGGCAATTTATCATCATCAAAAATCCCGAAAACATAATTACATGTTATTAAGTAAAATGTAATATTTTTTACTCTTCAAAATGATTGGCCAGTGTTTAAAATATAAACAAATATAAAATGCAAACCAAACATTGTAGAAATTTTCAATACTTCTATCATTTGAATATTTTATTTCTATGTATCATGTTATATATACAATGGGCTAAGAAAGGCCATCATAGTAAGTTGTATCAATCATGATATTTTGAATGAATTACGTAAAGTAACTGTTTATGTGCCCAAACAATAGCATGGCACGTCAATGCTATCTATTTGTCATCCCTTCAGAACTTTCTTTCAGAATCGTTTATCAAAATCATAACAAAACAATTCCTATCGTAAGTACTAGCAGTCGATCGTTCTATTTAAGCAGGTGCGTATTGTACAATTGTGCAACATCAAATAATAAATATGTGCATATCAATAAATAAAAATAAATCAAAATTTTACCACAACTTGCATCACCATCACCATCCTGAAACTGTGCAGTACATAACCACCAAACTAACATGCTACTAATAAAATCTTTCAAAGACAACAGGCTCATCATAAGAATAGTCGATGTAATAGAAATATTTTTCACATATAAAAAAAATAATAAAATAGAAAAAAAATTGCTGATATATTTGCATGGGCTATTTTGGGTTTTAGCTATTTTTGTATGAATCAAAATCTCGCTCGTTTTTTATGATTGTGAATGTCTATTTTGATGCATACGTTTTTTATTGATTTCAACTTTTACTTACTGAGTGTGCAAAAACAAACTTGAAAATTAGAAGTTTGGACAGGATATCAAATTTGCTCATACCATATCATATTTTGAATCACGTGATCAGTTTGTAATGAATTTAGATGGAATAAATATATTTGAAATTTTGGTTTTGAAAAACGCTGTATTAGTAAAGGCTTCATGGTAGTTAAACTGAAATCTTATTTGCGAATAAAATGGTAAATCATAGTTTTGCTGTTAGTTGTTTCCAATTTGTACAAAAAGCATAAATTTTAATCAACCCGCAATTTTGATGCTTCCTTTTCTCAGCTTAGCCCAGACAAATAATAAAAACATCTAACAATCAGTGAGTTTGTGAGTTCTACATCAATATAAACACCTTTTGCGCAACTGTTAAACCAAATAGCAAAAAAAAATCCAAAAAAATACAAAAGCGGACACGCACGTTTAAGTAACTTCCTATAACATTTATTTTTTTGAAATCATCGCGCTTTTCTACCAGTTGGATTTGAGATGCTGCCTGTACTGTCTTTGATAATACTGTTGTTCGTAAAGACGCTGTTGTTCTGTGAGCAGATCCCGGTGGTTTTGGGCTTCTTGTTGGTGATGATGATGCTGTTGTTGGTAGGATCGCGGCGACCCGGACGAGTCGCGCCCAGGGTGGGCCTGAAGCGGCGAGTTCCAGTAGGACAAGGCCTCGTTTGTATTCGGATTGTAGGCGCCGATGGACGACGTGCTGCGCCCGTCCAGAGGTATCGCGTAAACGTGCTGGATTAGGGCAAAACAATAAGAGATTGGATGGATGGAATTATGCTAGTCGGGGAGGGATTTTCTAAGTGTTCCACATATTTTAGAAAAACGTTATTATGGACTTTCAAGAAAAGTTACACGTGTAATGTAGATAGATTTTGTTCAAATTCCACGTGATGCAAGGGTTCTGAATTTAATTTTCATTTAAAACGCATTTACGTAACGAAAAAAATTGCATTGTTTAATATTTCACTAAGATTTTGAAATACCTATTTTTTCTAGTTTAAAATTTTCAAATTTGAGAAAACAAACGCACTTCTAAATCTTGTCTTAACTTTTTTAACCCCAGGTGGTAAGTTAAAGTAACCGCAAAAAAATCAAAGTTGAATATATTTGCAAATCTTTAATTTTTTTTGTCAATTTGAAAACTTGCTTTATTTGACTTAAATACATACATTGATTTTTACATAAAGATACAAATTGTATACACCTATTCTGGGAATATCATTGTACTATCATAATATAATATTGGTTGCATATATATATTTGTTTCAATTAACTTATATAAGTATGAAAAGATCTATTAAAAACATACTGCCATGGCATATCTTTACGTTTCAAGAGTTTCTGAACATTTTGGCGGTTTTGGAAATAAAAAAATATGGCAGCCAAAAATGATTATTATATACATGCGAATCAAATTATCATATATTTTTAGAGATTTTAATAATAAAAACAAATTTCTATGGGCCAATGTTCATATAGAGATAAACCAATGTTTATCCGTTATTCTGAGTCGCGGCGCTTGCGCGTTTCGAAATTGTAACTCTAGGCAGATAATGCAGCTTTTAATAAAAAGTAAAAAATTTACAAAATATTTATAAAAGAAAAATTTTTTTTTTTTAGATAATTTTAGATTTTTTTTTTAAGATTTTTTTAAAAAAAAGCGTTTTTTCCAAAAATTTCAATATTCTCAAAAATATTTTTTTATAAGCTTATACAATTTTAAAACTTTTTTAATAGTTTTAAAACTGTTTTAAAATTTTTAATTTTTAGTACAGAAAGTTACAGCAATTTTCCATGCACTACTAGATGTAATTTTTTTATATAATATTTATAATTGAAAAATCGGATTTGAATAGAAAATGCGTGCAGTTTACTGAAGGCTATATGAAAATCTTCGAATATTATTCCTTGGAAATTCTGTGAATTTATCAGTAGGTGATTATTATTAATTATTAAGAGAAATTATGGGAGTTCATCAGTAGGTGTTTATCATTATAAATCGTTTTTATAAGTAATTATAATCGTATATTTATAAGTAAAAAAGTTTACTATTCAGTTTTTTAGAAATTTCATATTTAGTGATGTTTAAGATGAGGAAAGAAAATGTCTGAAGATATCGGGTTTTTGGAATTACGTGTACAGTTACAAATTAGCATTATTTATTTTATCGACTCAAAATATTTTCTCTGTTGATGTACTAAACGTCATATTGATATAAGATCATTTTTAGGATTGATATGAAAATTTCTCAATATGAGTCTGATGTTTGTCTTCTATGTGCTTCAGTTCATTGTATCATTTAATATAATAACTAAATCAAAAACTTCTCGATTCAGATTATCAAATAATCGAATTATATGGAAGTATAATCTACAGAATCATTTCCTTATCTATGCATAGAATAATCCAATTATCATTTGAGATCCAAATTGAGAGACGTAATAAAAATGTGGACTTGGAATAGTTTTAATTATATTAGAATAGATTAATAAAACGTTATGAGCTGCTACTTTTCACTTTTTAGGTGTAATTTTTGCAACAGATTGTAAAATTTATGGCAGGAGTAATTGAGTGAATTTTGTATCACCTTGCTATATTATTACTAAATTTTTTGTGGAATTTGGCATCATTTTATAGATTTTGGGTTTATGTGCAATTATTTTGAAATAAACTTTAGTGTCTGGATTCGATAACAAGCAATTACTTATATAACGCCTGAATTCAAATAAAAAAATGAAGATAATAAGTAAGCTATTATACTATAAACTTATCGTTTACTTTTATCTTCCTACAAAGTTTAGGCTAAAAGAGTTTTAAATAAAAAGTAGAAAATACGAACCCATAAAAAAATATTTACAACTGTAAAGAGAGAGTATGTAAAAAATTATTTACAAAAAATCCTAATCGCTTAAAAATACTTTTAGATAGATGGGTGGAGATGAAGTTTGCGTTATATACATTAACAAAATATTTCATTAAATTATTTACTAGGCAAGTAAAAAAACTATGAAATTAATATGTTGTAATTAGTTTACATAATACATTTGGTGTTAGTAGAAAATTTGAATCATATCTAACCTTTTGATTGCTTCCTCCTCTGCTGGTCTTATATATTGTGCAACCTGCTTGAATAATCGCGACTAAAACCAGGGCTGCTATACAACCAAGGACTGAATACAATCTGGTACCAGTAAGTCGGAAAAAGCCACCTCCAAAATCTTCAGAAGATTCCAAAACTGGTGCAGAAGTTACTTAGAGGAAAGTATCATCATTATAAATTGATAAAACAAATTTAACGAGTTTATTGTAAGCAATGATGATAATGCATCACTCGCTAGAGCAAATTGATCTTTATGGACTTCTGAACTAATAACTGTTGCTATTATATTAATATACTCACAACTATGGCTTTCAAAAACCAAGAATCCTGGATCAACATTCAAATTTCCAACTTTGCCAGGTGCCAGAGTGTCTCTAATAGCGCTTTTAACTTGCTCTTCGGAATCTGCTACAACATCGACATCATTGCTGACTGGATCCAGAGATCTGCCTTTTTCGTAAGAAGCTTTGTCAAGCAATAAACGCATTTTTGCTATCACAGCTCCATCCAAGCTAAAATAGTATAAATAAATCTAGACTCAAGTACACGACAAAATGGAAATTTTGCTAATTTAAGTAGAAGTTTCTTACTCTTGGAATTCCATTACATCAAGACTGCTAAAACCAGGCAAATGTTCCAGGGGTCCACGGAATGCACCAGTAACTGTATTTGCAAGTTGATCAAAATCTTCACTATTTGTGTCAGGTGCTGTAAAACCTTCGGCAAGCTGAAGAAGTTTTACTTGCATTGTGTAAACTAGACGAGGTGGAGGTGGACGGGTGGTTGCTTCTTCACGACCGATGTCTAGATAAAATTATTCAAATTAATTGTAGATAGATGATGATGAGAATTCGAATTCGCATTAAGCATATCTTATTTGTTATACATCTCATATAATTTTATAACTGACCTCTTCCGCAACTCTTGATGCAAATACGTTTCTCTGAAACAACTGGAGTTGTAGTATGCCTTCTTGTTTTTTTATTCACGCTATTAAAAGCACCTCCATGAACTGGGAACATCATGTATAAGCAATGATCTTCAGTGAAAGATAAATCCTGAAATTGTATAAATGATTTAACCTCTGGATAATAAAATGACGCATCTGAGTACTATAATTATATTACAACAAATTTGCATACGTAAAAGTTATTAAAAATTACAAATGTTAAAGTTGAGATATGTAAACCGTTGGAATTTAACTTCAATGAACTTTGACAAACCTGTGATTTATCTTTGCTAATTCTTTTTCTTGTGAACGATATCGTTGTGACCCCATCTTGCAATTTAGCACTGGTGTTGTAGATATCTTGGGAATCATCAAGCTTTGGCATTCCGTAGCCATTGATCCATGCGTCCATCAAGAATGGGCGTCCACCTTTGTCAACCCACCCTAAGACAGCATCTGTTTGCGACTACAGTGATGAAAGATAGAAATAGTAAAGATTTGTTTGAGCTAAATTGCTTTTTGATTCCGAATATCCATTTTTTGGAACATTATTAAAAAATAGTCTTACCATCTTATCGTCATCAGAGAAGCCAACGCCTGTCCAAGTATCTGTATGTGTGGTCTTAATAGTGAATCGCATTGCATCTCCTCGATCTGTGAGTTCCCAAGATGCATGGTATTCGCAAGAACCAGCTTTATCTTTTTGGTCGGGGTCACAACCTCGTGGAGTTCCCCATGATCCTCCACAATCACCAATAATTGATGCAGAACCAGAAGAATTTGGTGTTGGTTTTGCTTCATCTAAAACAGAACCAAAATATCATAAACATAAGATATAAATAATTGAAGTAACAATGGTAGAAGCATGTTGAAGTATTATCAGGCAAATTGATGAATCATTCCAAGTTTTTTCAACGGTCAATAGTTTCTACAATTTTCTTTATAATTACCAAAGAAATTAAGTGTAAGCGCTCCCCTTTGACTTCCATGTCCATGGTATTTCAACTCATCCGCTTTGTAGAAATCTTTCATTGATACCGCCTCCTTTTCTATACCTGATGGCGGATTATGGACGTAGTGCCCAAATTCCTACAAGAAACATATAGTATTGTTAACATATAAATTGGTTGTATGTTTTATATAGCGCAATTATTACTTGTCCCCTAGCCCATATGACATGCATCAACTCCTTCTCAAATGAATGATCTGTTGGTTCTGTAGCTTGTAACTTCTTCCTGAATAGAATTGTTGTCACACCGTCTTTTTCAAAGCCCATGGCAGCAGTCAAATCACTTTTTCCACCCCAGAATGTATCCATTCTTGGTGTCGATCTGTAAAATGCAGAACAACTGTTAATGATGTGTTCCAAGGCGACCAAATTTTGTTTCCTGACCTGTCTCTGGTATAATAGTCCCAAATTCTGCTGGCTGTTCCTCTAGCTGTACCAATAACAATATCTGTACAATCCATAGGACTGAAATCGTGTTTAGGAGCGTAGGAGTCTGATTGAGCTTGAGCAGACTTGCTGACTGGTGCTGATTTGGAAGCTGGATAATTGGATTACATTATAAATTGCATTATATTACTAAGCATTATATTACTAAGTATTGATGTCAGATAAGCAGTTGATAAAGATACTGATTCTCAGGTATAATTTTTGAGTCATTATTGAATCAAATATTATTGTATATCAGCGATATATTCTGACACCATTACTTTTATCAATTTATATTTTTTACACCTGAGTCTATCAAATCTTAGTTATATGCAAATCTAGCAAATATGCTAAAAATTGATTATATATTTAATAAGATGCTTTTATCAAAGAAGTCAGATATTAGTAATACTTTCACTAGGACAGTCTTTTAATAATGAAGTATAAAGAAAAACATTAGTACTGTTATACCAAGTTTAAGATTTTTAAATACCATACTACAATATATGAAGAATATTTACATTATGTACAGAGTAATATTACCTAAGTTAATAATTTTCAAAATTTATAACTCTAGAAGCAATAAATTTTAATATTTCTACTGTTATACCTTTAGCTGTGGTTGACTCTGATTTTGAACTAGGTTCCGGCTCTGATTTAGGTTCTGGTTCAGGTTCTGATTTTGGTTCGGGTTCCGACGTTGGTTCAGGTTCTGAGCTAGGCTCTGGCTCTGAACTTGGTTCAGGCTCTGAACTGGGTTCTGGCTCAGAGCTCGGTTCCGGTTCGGAACTCGGTTCTGGCTCAGAATTTGGTTCTGGTTCAGATTTTGGCTCAGGTTCAGAAGCGGGTTCTGATGTAGGTTCTGAAGTAGGCTCAGGTTCAGATTTAGGTTCTGGCTCGGATTTAGGTTCCGGTTCTGCGTTTGGTTCACTCGTAGGCTCCGGTTCTGCGTTTGGTTCCGAGCTTGGTTCTGGTTCAGCAGATGCTGGTTCGGGTTCAGAACTTGGTTCTGGTTCAGAGCCGGGTTCTGGTTCGGCGCTTGGTTCAGCTGCCGAAACTGGTTCGGCATCGTGGAAGTCAATAAATGCTGTTTTGGATTTTCTGATGCCCTCGTGTGGTTCGCTCAAGTTTTCTGTTGAAGGCTGAGTAATTGTATAGGATTCGCCCCAATCGGTTTCGGAACTTGGACGCACAGAAGAACCTGATGGACGCGATAAACGTGCAATAGATTTCACCACATATAAAAATCAAACTGTGTCTCTCAAGGAAAAGGGATACAAGTTGAATATTTGAAAAAATTAAGGTATCGTATCATGTACTATTTTTAATACCAAAAATGGTTCTGGTGATATGTTGAAATAGTCTGACTCATCGATTATATTTATTTTAAAGTAGAATTATCATCATAGCAAAAATTAAGAGTCACTTAAAAAAAACAATTTTTTCATGTACAACGTTATTGCGATGGATGTTTTAAAATTTAGATATGCTTTGAAAAATTATGCATATATATATTACATTTATGTGGTGCAAATGCACGTATTTCCTTAAGTTTGCCTATGGTTATTTTTCATAATTACGTTTCTAATTTATTTGCAATAACTAAACGACTAAATAAAATTCCTCTAATAATCAGAATACACAAAAGTAGTCAAATTTCAGTCTAGTCTTAAGCTAATATATCTGTTAAGTTAAATCAATCTGAAGATCCCAAAATTAGTATTTAGAAGTACATCCTTCAGAATTATTAGAGAGCAAATAGTATAGTTGGTGCAAATATATCAAAGTGCTCAGTCTATATAGTGTGAGGTGAAAGGTGTCTGTGTTATGTACACGCTAATTACTCCATTTTTCATTTAGCTATCAAATCAAACTTCTAGTTATGAGAACCTAAACTAATTTTGTATAAAATAATAATTACGAACCTTCTGCTTCACGCTTTCTGCGACCTGGAATAAAAAAATGCTGTAAATACTATAATCGTTTTTACTAAAATTTTGAACTAAACTACTAAGATCATATTTAGGTAGAGGCGTACTATGCCTAGGTAGTACCTCAAATTATAATTTTTTGGTGATCCTTAGTACAACTTACTACACTGATAGTACAACTTACTACATCCTAAATTTTAAATATTTAATTTTTTTCTACTAACCGTGTCTGGTACTGACTCTATAACTGACGCTGGTTTGCACCGTGACATCTGGTTCCGATGTTAGTTCTTCATTGGCAGCAGGCCTGGCCACTCGTTTGGTCTTGGTTTTTTCTCCACTGTGTGGTTCTGGTTCCGCAGTAGGTTCACTAGTTGGTTCAGGCTCTGGTTCGGCGCTTGGTTCACTTGTTGGTTCCGGTTCTGGTTCTATTATAAAATCATAATGATCAACAACTATATAGAACTAGAAACATAAACAAAGAACTAGCATAGAAGTTACAGATAGTGAAGTTGTTCATTTTTTAATAAAATTGCAGAATTTTATAATAAATTTGTATCAAGTTTTTCATATAAGTGTATTTTATTCCGAGCAGGTGATTTTCTAATCCCGTGTTCTCGGTTCATTAGAATTTTCTCAAGCAGAACAATAAGATTGTTCTGTTTGTATACCAACAATGTTAGTGATTGCTGCATTACAAAACTCACGCATAATGAAGTAATGGTAATTTTTTTAGCTTGAAATGAATTAATATGAGCTATTATAATAATGAACTACTTTCACCATTCATAGTTTTTTCCGTGTTGTCGATTGAAGTTTATCTGCGGTTTCAGAGTATGAGTATTTTTGCATCTTATGTAATAAAGCATAGAATAATAGATTGATGTTTTATTCTTGAGCTGGTTAATGCTCTATGAATTACTAACTACTGGTACCAAGTCACATAACTAACTCAGTTTGATATCTAGCAGGATTAGTAACCACTGGTACCAAGTCACATATCTAACTCAATCAGTTTGATATCAAGCAGTATAGGGGCGATGTACTGAACCATTTGAATAACCGTGTAAGGCTAAAAAAAATTGTACAGGTTATTCTCAGCATGCTAAGTACAAAAATCATAGCCTAACTGGTTTTAGTCCTGCACGTCGTCATCCATCAGGAGTTTGCACAAAATGCCCAAAAATTGAATTTTAAGCCTCAAACTTTTTTTTATTAACTCTTTTATTTACAACTGCCCAGTAAAGGAAATTCAGTAAATTTAATGAATTTACAAACTTTAACACAAATTTTATTTATTTATTGACAAGTTCAAAAATGCCAGGCAATTTCAACCTGTACAAGCACCTGACAACAGAGCCCATAAGTTCAGTTTTATGAGCAAGCATATGCATTTAATAAACTTTGTCCTATATAAGGATAATTTTATACATGTTTTTTTCTAAATTAGTACAATTTTTTTGTAGATTTACTGGAACACCATTATTGAGAAGATTCGGTAGCTCTTAGTCTAGTTTCTATACCAGATTTTTACTGAAGATCACAGATCATCTAATATATGATGTCAAATGATAAAAACTTTTTAGAGCATTGCTGCAAGATGTATATGAATTTAATAAACTTTGTACTATAAGATTAATTTTAGACATATGTTTATTTAAATTAGTGCAATTGGTCCAGTTGTTATACCAGATTTTCATGGAGATCATAGATTTCTAATATGATATCAAGTGCTATCTGTTACCACCACTGCTCGATATCAAGCTAGTCGAGCTGGTCATCGAACTCACACTATGATAATATATTTTGTGATTTTTTATTAAATATCCAGCGATGTCACTGAAAGACTATTCTCACTTGATCATATTTGAGATCTGTAATTTCAAGTGCAAATCTTATATCATACTTCTTGATATCAAGCTGGGCGAGCATGGGATTGAACCTGAAACTAGTGATTTCTACGTTTCTTTATTTTATTTTTTCTTAATAGCGATCTTTAGCATATGTTTTTTATGGAAGGCAATCCACTACTTGTCCTTTTTTAGTTCTGGTATTTCTTTAATGTATACAATTTTTTAGGGCATTGCTACAATGTATATTCTCATCACTAGAAATATATCTAATATAATCTATGATGTTAAAAAATGAATTAGGAATGAACAAAAAGTTTATTTCTTATGTCTATGCATTCATTGATATTCCAATATGCGGTAAGAGCATTCTAATCAACGATACATAAATATATCTAATTTTAATTAAATGCAAAGCTTTTTAATATAATCATCTTCATTATATTCAAAGACATATAATGAATTTCATGTCTCAAGACTATGAAATTTAATTTGAAAGCTAAAAAGTTCAAATGCCGCTACACCATACCATGACAATCTCGTTCCATCAAACGCGGCACGATTCCGATTAGTTTCGTAATAATTTTTGATATAAGATATTATGATTTTAGGCTAACTGTGATCATAATGGGCTTTTATCTTATTGAAGTGGTAATTATAAACTTAATGACTCTATTATTACGATGTCGTGCTCCGTGAAATGTTCGTGCAGGTCGGTGTTGTCATTCCGTGGAATATGGAACTGTTATGGAAGTGTTCATATCTGAACATTTATATATGCATTTCATGATGTAATTAAATTATTATTTTATGTCTAACAGTATACGTATAATAGACTGTTTGTAATTTACGAATAATTATAAAGTTTACGACAAATTGTGTTTTTGCAATTGTGTACCAAGCTGTTCGAGTATGGGATCGAACCTGAAACTAATGATTATTAGTCCACTTTTTTTTAATTTTTATTTTTATGCACCAATGTCTATTTCAACAAAACTATTCTTACTTGAGATCGTGTTTGAGTTCTATATACTCAAGTGAAAAACTCATCATACTGCTTGATATCAGTTCTTGAAAAAATATACTCACTTGATCATATCCGAAAACTATAACTTCAAGCAAAAATCTTACTACTTAATATCAACCTGGTCGAGGATGGAATCGAACCTGAAACTAATGGTTACTAGTCCATGTTTTTTTTATTTTTTATCCACAGCAACGTTCCCAATAGACTAATCTCACTTGAGATCATGCTTGAGGTCTATATATTCTCAAGTAAAAATCTGTTATCATACTACTTGATATCAAGCTTGCTCAAGGTTGTGGTAGTAATTGCAAGAACATGTTCTTACTACTAAGCTCTAAGGAGGTGTCCATCAATCACGTGATGTTTTTAGGGGAAGGTAGGTTGTTTGACAAAAAATTACGAAATATCACGTGGGGTAGGGAGAGGTATAGTAAGATATTACGTATATTATTTTTTATCTAATTTTTTTTTTAAAAATCTAACAATTTTCAAATAAAATAAAAAAAATTACAATTTTTTCTTGTAACTAAAAATACACGTGATAGGAAAGAGACGGTAATTTTAAATAGGGTCCAAAAATCCTAAGAAAAATTGACCCTGTGATTAATGGACGTGATTAATACACGTGAAATTTGATAGAAAAGGGGCGGTAATTTTGAATATGGTCCAAAAATCATAAGAAAAATTGATCACGTGATTAATGGACGCTCCATAAATTAGAGTATGTAAACTATACCTTTTGGAACATTATAGCAAATTTATCTTTGCGTTTTATAACTCCACTTAAATTTCTCACAGAAATATTATTGTTGATTAATTTATTTCTATTACATTTATCTACCTATTGTTGTATCTGCCGCGGCAGCAATTCTCTTTCCAATCTGCGGGAAGTTTCTGCATTTGGCGGTGAGAGATCGCGGTCTCCAGCCCAAAGCGGCGTATGATGTCCCGTTCACGACCATCACAACCTAGAACAAATTCGTGAAACAATTACCTACATTCAATTAGATTGTGGTCACAGTTTTTGTTATTTTAAACTAGATCACATCGTTTTTATTTAGATAGGTATAAATGAGAGATGTTTTCTCGAATGGTGCCAGAACATGGCATGTTATTTGATGTCAGTAGTTTAATCTAATATTTATTGCTAATTATATTCTATAATATAATTATAATTATTTTTGGAAATATTTTTACAAGTATTTTTACATCTCATTTACTTTATAGTATATCAATAAAATTTCTAAATTAAAATACCACGTTATCGAAATGTTTAGTTCCACATAAATGATAATATATTTCAACTAAAACATATTATTGTATAATAAAAACTTCAATAGTTCTGCGTCATTAATTATTAATCAATGTACAACATATTGAACGATTTTTTTTACACAGATATTAATTGAAATTTATCTTCAACCAGCCGGATATAACTTAGTAATTAATTCCACCTTGCATTTCATTTTCCAACTATCAAAGTTCTTGAAGTTTAATTATTAATGTCATCGAAGGCTAATAATACCTAAATCAACTAAAGACAAAAAATAATCTGACATCGTCACAGTAACCTATTTATCGCTATTGATTATTGAAAACCTTATAATAATAATTGATCGTGTACTATTCAACCTCAATTGCGATATAACAATTAATATATTCTAATTAAAATGTCTTATATGCACATGTCATCAGGGACAGTAGAACAAATGAAGATAATAAGAACTTTTGCATAAGAACCGTAAAATATATATTTAAAATTCTTTGAAAGTTGGTCACGGCATTAAAGAACATCGTGTTTGACTATTATCAGGTTAACGAGGAAATAATGACAAAAGTATTGTTTACAATACATTGGCTTTGGACGACTAGTTTAATTAAATAATATAATTATTAATCGACTTACTACGGTAATTCGCTTGAAAATTGAATTTGTACGAATTTAACAATATATCAATGAGTAAGATAAACTAGTGGTGCATGGCATCGTGCCTTAAGGTAAATTGCTGAAACTTCCCATACCTTAATGAAATATTCCAGGAATATTAAATGTTTTCAAATAAATTATTATAAATATAGTAACTTTTATTATTCTTATTCTATAAAAATTAAATTAACAAAACTTAATCAATCCGATTTGAAATGAAGGACATTGTATAATATTTATAAGAATTATATAAACTAAATTGCAAAGTTAAAATTATTTATTTGAAGTATTATATATAAGTAATGTTTAGAACTTTAGCTAGAAACTAGAATCCGAATTAGTTTTAAATCTTTCCTCAAAAGCAATCGTTTTTTCAACACAAGCTATTTTTTTTTAAATCATTCAAATTGGATGCTTAGTTTTCTCAAAAACTGCCATATTTTGCACATTTAGCTCTGTATCTTTGAAATGGCTGGGCCTGCCTTTGCCAAAAACTAATAACCACTTCTCCCAATCATTACTAATTGAATGTTTTTTAGATTATTCAAATCGGATACTCCGATCTCTCAAAAACTCGATTTCTATTTTTTGCATTCTTTGCTCTGTATCTCCGAAACGTCTGGA